CAACCTGAGAGGCGGGCTGCACCAACCGAAGCCAAGGCTGAAGCCAGCTTCTTCATATCTCTATGTCATGTCACGGTCTGACCACCGCGGCCCTTCTTCCAGCCTTACCCGGCACGTGCAAAGCGGGCACGGGAAGTTTGTCGATGAGCAGCACACGCAATACGTGACCAGGCCAACGGAGGTGGTGCATAGTGATTATTTCTGTTAAAGAGCGACTAACCACACTCAACACACGACGACGGACCTCGTCATTGCCCTACCGATGTTCCCATCAGACATGAGCAATGCTTCGGAGACATCGGTGGTCGAATACAGAAAGTCGATTAGCATCCTCAAAGCGGAGAGGCCAGTTCTCACAACGAAACTAGTATGATACACGTCTATCCAACAATGTCAATAGCTGTTATGGTATACATCTGCAATGTGATCATTGTAGCGAAATTTTGTGATGATTATTTGTATTGCAGACAGGAGAAGAGTGATCATATATGTGGCATAATGATTAGGTTTGTATATTTTATTGATTTTGCCTCGGATAATTTGCAGAGATATGAATTTTGGAATTATACGTCACTTTGAAAAATGATTAGAAAACACGTCGTTAAAAACAAATTCTGAGTTTGATCTAACCAAAAGTTGGATATCTGAAACATAATCAGAATGATTTACCTGAATCCAAGGCAGGAAAATTCCAGACACAAATTCCTCTGGGCGGAACATGGAGGTAATGAGTGCTTCGAATAGTTGAACACTTAAGCGGCGGTTTTCCTCGATATCTTGCTTGACTTTGGGCAGTAGATAGTTCTCGTAGAAGCTGTTTAGTTAAGAATGAAAACAAAAGTACCTCTTGCAATTAAACGATAAATATTACCGGTGAAAAATGGGGAAGAACAATCCGAAGAAAAGAGAAAACTCAACTGTAGAGCAGGTTCATTTCCCTTCGAAGCGAATACCTTTGTCACGCGAGGATAAACATGCGGGGTCCACTCTAAAGGTTTCAACAACTCAAGTAGACCTTCACATCCCGGTAAATGAGGAAGCATTTTGACTGTTTTAGGAAGCGGTCCACTACGGAAGTGCCGCAATACATCACTTAGAAGGCGGATGTGGTGAACAAGCTCTTCGGGTAATTCTTCCAGCTCATCAATCCCTTTAAATTCCGCCAAGTCACCCGGGAGGCTGCCCGAATACTGCGAAAATTCATCCGACACCTGAGGCGGTTGGGAGGAAAGAAAGCAGAGTCTTTGGATTAAGAACGAGTAAACTTCTATTGTCATGAGTTGTTGATTCATATGTATTGTATTGTGTAACTTTTGCAAGCACTGGAGCTCACATTTCAGTTAAAAAATCATTCACGCCAACCGTCAAAAGGTATATGATAAACTGGGAGAAAATTTTTACGGACAAGGGGACATTTCATAATTCAAGGATAAAACAAGGCTCACTTATTGTCGGTTCTTTGTTTGTGAGTAAACGAGCACGATAGGGTATAGGCGAATCGCGGTAAGCGTCAATTCGAGATGAAAATTGGCGGAATTGGGAGCGTGTTCAATGATGGGAATGACAACGTGTCAGACCTGTGTGCAATGGGTGGTCAGGATCTGTGAGAATTCTCTTAGTAAATCCCACACAGGAAGTTACGTGATACTCTGAAAGCTTTAAAGCTAATTTATTCACAGTAATAGAAGAGACACGGCTAGTAATAGTTAGAGTGCAGTGTAAAACTTTGAAATCCTGTTTGAGTAAGGCAGGAAAAATGATTGGAGAACAGTAGAAAAAGCTGGGGAAAACACACTGATAAACAAAGGTAGAAATAACTGACTGGGATGCACAAAAGTGCCTGAGCTTTCGAATTTGAGGTGATAGGCGCCGCAGTTTACCAATGCAGTTGTGAATGTGGGTTGACCAATGAAGATTGCTATCTATGGTTACACCAAGTTATTTGACAGTGTTCACCCTAGATAAAGGAATGTTATTAATCACTGCGAGGTCTTTCAGATATGGAGAGCGGGCAAAACTATATAAACACTCAACATTCAACTTCAAAGGCCGATTTGCAATTATCGCTGACAGTATAGTAAGCATGCGGTTTCGGTGGCTTTTCTATAGTTTTCTACTAGGGAGAATCTCGCTCGTAGAAGAGCATGGTCCGTGTTTACGGGTGTTGACCAATAAGAGCCGCAGTCTTCAAGGGATCCTCTCCAGCGGTGGCTGATGTCGATTTGGTCCATTTGAGTCCAGCGCTGTGAAGAAGTTGGTGGTCTCCATATAAGGCGATGTCATTTCTTATGCGAGAAGTTGGTGCTTGACAGAAACAGTCCATGGTCAGTGCAAAGTTGGAGTAGGTGTTATCCGTTGTCAGTCCGGTTAGCTGGGATTGGATAAGAACCATCAAGTAGCCTTTCTGATTCGTCCAGGGGTCCCACTTGGGTATTGAAATCTCCAACGACCATCATGATGTCCGTTGCCCGAGCACTTTGTAGTAGGTTCTTGAAGAATTCATCCTTTATGTCTGGCGAACTGCAGTCGATTGAAGCAACCACGGATACGATGAATAAGCACCGACGCTTCGTTCTGTAGCTGTTGACCTGTAATGAAGCATCCAGACTTGTCAAGCTAAGACCTGGCATGAGGGTATGAAAACCCTAACCAGGAGACTAGGTCACATAGGCCCCGTTAAGCTCCCTGGCTGGGGACCTCGGGATGATGATCACCGATGGTTAGTTACACTGAGTGATATGACTGGGTGTCGCAAACAGTGGCGCTCGTGCATCTACTCGTTATTTTCCTAACACCTCTCTATGTGTATTCCCCATCTTCCGCTTGAATTTGCTTCGACATTCCAATCTTCACTTCGCTCTTTTATCCAAATGAGCAACCAAAGACAGCAACCAAAAGCGACGCACGAAAGTGCATGATTAATGGTTGTAAAAACTGAACTGAACTGATCCACACTTATAGCGCAAATTCGGCTACTACTCCGAGTCCAGTCATGAAATGAATGCTCAACCTTGACACTTAGCGCCATCCCGACACAAGCAACAGTGAGCGTCGGATGCCGAATCGACTGACACACGAAGAGGGAAGCGTGAGGCTGAAGTTAGATCTGCAGATTGTAAGGTGACGACTGAAGTGGAGTTTTGTGTGCTTTTGTCGGAGACACAACTTACGTCTAAATTGAAAGTTTCAAGGGTTCTAACTAACGCAGGTTGTTGACTGGTCTAATAAGGTGCGGATATTTAAAAAACGGCTGAGCAAAAAGGAGATTTTACAATCAACAATATTAGCCTTTAGTTGGTTTGTTTTACTAGGTGAACGCAGTGATGCACGACGGGTGGTCCAAACAGGAGACATCGCGAATGATTTGGGGGTGGGAGGAACAACTGGACGGATGAGGAAGAGGATTTTCAGAATGGGTACCTAAGACTTTGGAGGACGACATACAGTGCGGTATCCCATACCGACGCAGGGGTTTTTCTTTGGGAACCCTCACTTTTGACTGATTCGCAGGGCAGTGAGGCGTAGATCCACCATCTGACTCCCTTAGGAGAGACCAACATTCGTGAACAGCAAACCGGATTCCGGCCTGGCCGTGGATGTATNGGATGTATTGATCAAATTTTTACGTTGCGGCACTCCTTGAGCTGCGGCACAACAATCATCGACCAACGATTGCAGTGCTCCTTGACCTGAAACGAGCCTTCGACTCAGTTAACCGCGAAGCTCTCATGGGTTCCCTTCTTTGAAAAGGAATGCCCCAGAAGTATGTTAACCTACAGAGGTCACTGTACTCACCTCCGGTCGTGTAAGGGTTTACAACGAACTAAGCAGGCCAATCGTCACCCTCAACGGCGTTTGTCAAGCGTGCTCTCTCACCTTTCCTATTCAATTTCGTCGTAGATAAAATACTGGAGAACGCACCAAATGGACTCCAAAACGTAGGTATTGAATCCACCACGACGAGACTGCACCTTGACGTGGTGTGATGGCCGTCGTTGATATATCATTGTCCTTTCTGTTGCATAGATTACTTTTATTCTGGGCGCATATTCTAACATTTCGCTTGTCCCGTTTTAGCTCTGCCTCGTTTTTGGTCGATTAAAGCCTATCATTAAGGCGTTGTCTTCTGGCTTGTCTACCGACTCAACGTGTGACCTGATACACTACAAGTTCTCGTCAATCATATAAACTACTACGTTACAATGGCTTGTGAACCTCTATGACCCAACGAGCTACCTAGGATGGTTTTTGTCAAGCCGCGGATCTAAACATGCCTGTGAGGTTAATGGGTAGAGGTCAGACGAAGTTTATTCCCCTGGTCCTCCAGGTTTGGGGTTCGACTCGGGTTAGCGTCTCAGTCGATAAAATCGTAGAGGAGTAATTGATCCAAGTAAATAGGCATCTACTTCTCTTCACCCGCTGCCTTGCGGTTAGGTTCTTGTCAGAACTGAAGCCTTTGAACGAGAACCCTAATCGTTCTCCTGCTTAGTGGCTGGGAAACCTGGTAGTACTCGTCCATCAAACTCAAATGCATACAAAACCAAAAAATAATTTCATTTAATCGCTCGTCGCGTAGGATAATCAGGACCGTGCTGCTCATTACATCGAGCGGGATGGGTAGTGATAAGTGGGCCACTGCTCAGATATTCCAACATTTGTTTAACTCTTTGCCTTCCGTATCCAGTCTTCTCCATTTTCTCCTTCTTCCGACCTGTAATATTCCCTCAGGCAACTTGGATGTCGCCCGCCTAAGGTCGTTGCCAAATAACACTAAGTAATGTACCACGAAATGGATTGCAGATTCTGAAGCCTCGTCAATCACTGAATCCGGGTGCCTTCAACGTGAGGACTCTGATGCAAGTAGGTCGGCAAGCTTGTTTGGCGTGTATAATGAAATCCTTAGGAATCGACATTTGCTGCGTGCCGGAGACTCGAATCCAGGATCCTACTACTACGAGCCACTTGAGCGCACCGGATTTGTCGTCGAGATACGTTCTTCGCACATCAGGGGACAATGAAGCTCGTTAAGTAGGTCAACGCGGGGTAGGTATTGTACTCAGTAACAGTGCAGAGTCCTCTCTTATCGATTGGATCCCCGTCAATAGTCAGTGCGGTGCGTCTCCAGGGTTCAATCAGTGTCCGGAAAGGAAGCAACACCAAAAGTGTTTGTTCGTCATATCGGCATATGCACCGACTAACTGCGGTTCTGGCATACAAAAGGACGCTTTCTACGATGAACTCACCGATCTCGTTCGGATAAGTTGAAGTTCCGACATAGTTGTACTTGCGGGTGACTTCAACGCGCAAGTTAGAAAACTGAACGCATCAGAAGCTTGCATAGGCGGTAGTTGTGTTCTGCCGTGCCAACGAACAGATAACGGCGATCGACTTCTTCAGTTCTGCCCAGACCATTATCTATTCCTAGCTAGTACCAACTTCCGACATAGCTCTCGACGAACGGCAACTGGGCGCTCCAGTTCAACTGGTATGCTAACTCAAACCGACCAAATGGCAGTAAGCCACCGTTGGCGTGGCTCAGTGCAAAATTTCAGGTCCTATTGGATCACTTTTGCTGCGTCTGACCACGCGTTAGATTTGATGAAGTTCACTCTTCGGTTGACTGGTCGATGACAAAACCAGCAAACCCGGATAGCTCACCACCAACTATCTGTTCCAGCCGTCCGTGCACGCTATGATTCAAAGCTAGTGCGTGAGCTAAGCGCGCCTTAACGTGATGTAAATGAGCAGTTGGATCAGATTACGCGAGCAATGCATTCCGCTGCGAATGTTGCTTGTGGGACTGAGCCTCATGCCCGTCGGAGGCATTGGATATCTGATGAATCTGTCGCACTGATGGATCAAAAACGACAAATCCCGACCTGCCAGGATCGAAACAGGGTTAGGTGGCAGCTACAGCGTCGGCTCACGAAGAGTCTCAAGAAGGACCGTGAAACTTGGTGGGTAACAATAGCTAGTGAAATGGAAGTAGCGGATGCATCAGGGAATAGTCAAAGACTGTTACGACTGATACGCAATACGGAAGGTCGACGAACCACAGTTAGTGAAAGAGTCGCCGATAAGAGGGGGCAAGCTATTTACAATTGGGATGAACGACTTGATCGCTGGGCAGAATACTTCGGCGAATAGTTCAGCTGGCCTGCCGCTAACCAGGTTGCCTCATCCGCAACTGAAGCTCCGTGGGTAGTGTTGTGCGATTCTCCAACAAAAGCAGAAATTCGGTCCTGCATTCAAGCTCTAAGGCGGCGAAAGGCAACAGGACCGGATGAGCTTCCTCCAGCTCTCTTCAAGATGAGAGGTGATTACCTCGTAATCTCTATTACTACCGTACTGAGCAATATTTGGACGCAAGAGCGCATTCCTTCATCTTGGGGCGAATCACTGATCTTTCCCACTTTCAAGAAAGGATCTCGTAACGATTGCGAAAACCACCGCGGGATCAGTTTAATCCTGATCGTCACCAAAGTGCTAGCTTCGGTGTCTGACTCCTTTAAGATTGATCAACATCCGTGAACAGCAAACCGGATTCCGGCCTGGCCGTGGATGTATCGATCAAATTTTTACGTTGCGGCACTCCTTGAGCTGCGGCATACCAAACGTCGACCAACGATTGCAGTATTCTTGGATCTAAAACGAGCCTTCGACTCAGTTAACCGCGAAGCTCTCATGGGTTCCCTTCTTTGAAAAGGAATGCCCCAGAATTACGTTAACTTACTGAGATCACTGTACTCACATACCTCTAGTCAAGTGAGGGTTTACAACGAACTAAGTGAGCCCTTTGTCACCAGCAGCGGCGTTCGTCAAGGGTGTCCTCTTTCGCCGTTCCAGTTAAATTTCGTTGTAGACGATATATTGAAGAACGCACTAAGTGGACTCCAAAGCGTAGGTATTGAATGGGCAGCAGGAGAAAAGCTGTGCGATTTAGAGTGGGCCGATGACATTGTCTGTCTGTTCGAATGTATGGAGGACGCGTAAAGTACACTTGATAGAATAACAAGTGCGGTAACCACATTCGGTATGTGCTTCGCACCTTCAAAGTGCAAAGTGATACTGCATGACTGGGTTTCACCTACACCCACTCTGAAACTAAACGGCCAGGAATTACTTGTAGTGAATCACTTCTCGTACTTGC